AGATCGTGTCAAACATTTTATGTTGGGAAATGGGGTCACTGTAACTTGGAGGAGAAGCTCTAAGGTGCGTCTGAAGATACTGTCTTTAGAACGTTATTTGTCCCCACTCAATTTCACCGAGTTTGTTGTTGGGTTACAGGTAAATCTGTTCCCAGGATACAACAGAGCCTTGGGCGAGAATCTACAACTAGCAAAGTTGAAGAATCTTCGAATAAACCTTTTGTGAGACTATAGTAGACCGGATTGAGAGAGAAAGTGATTTTCGAAAATGTTGTGTTTTCAAGTGCTTGATTCGTGCTCCTTAAATAAAATCTGAAGAATCATAAAAGTGTTGATTCAGAAAAATGTACATTGAACAATCACAATTTCAAACATTGCACTGTGCGCACGCGCGTATTGCATGGTAGCAAGCCACCATACTCTCCTCTCTTTATCTAAAGAGTGTAAATCAGCTCCTATTAAAAAACCCAAAACAAAACTTGTAATTTTCCAATGTGGGACAAGTTCAAAACTGGTTTTAGTAAGAGAAAAGTTATTTTTCCACACAAGTATGCAGGTACAATTTCTCATGTAATTGACCAATCAAATCCATTAGATTTAACCTCTAATGAGATAAAAATCCAACATTTTCAAGCCTATTAATTTCCTTTCTAAATTAACTCTACCAATCATACAACTAACTCAAAAACATCTTCAATGGTCTCTTATTTTTGAATTAACTAGGATAGTAAAGATCTAGTGTCCATCCTACGAATCATTCATATATATCTTTCCCTCGTAGGTTTCACCTTGTCATACCATAAATTGATGGACCGGCAGCATTAAGAGAATATCATCATTGAATCTACTAGAGAGACCATAAAGATATGGATATAGTTGGTCACCTCGAACCAACCTATTGTCAATAATATAATAGATGTTTTAGTCACAGGTTCCAACTTCCAACCTCACTCTTTTACAATTTTTGATAGATTAGGTAGTGAAGTGGAGTGTCACCTTTAGGGGGAAGGGGTTTGAAGTTTATTCTTCTAAGGTCATGGTTGGGAGTGCTTAAATTTTTAATGCTTATTCGAAATAAATGTTTATTTGGACTAGGGTATCGGTGCTTGGAAAATAAGTCTAAAATAAGAGTTTATTTTTTTAAACCCTTTTCTTAAATGTTCATACAATAATTACTTATTCAATTTTTTTCTCCCAGACTTATCTTTAGTTAATTTTTAGAATACTAATTATACCCTTTCAATGTCTTCCTTGACCTCTCTACGCAACCCAATACATCTAGCACCGTCTTTGACCATCAGCATGCACAAGTGTTTGTGATCCTGTGCTTAGGCTCCTCTGTATGACACCGAGGCTCCTCTATATCATGACATTTAGCTGCAGCTTTGTCAATTTCACAGGCGTAGTCTCCGACATGGTTACGGTGAACTTCCTACTAGAAAGGAGGTCTTGGTCGGTCTTGATGCAGAGGTATATGTACCACACCCTTCGCCTCCTCAATAAACTCATCACCAACACCACCGTTGCCTCCATGCTTCGCTCTTCCTCCCCATGATTCTTCTCTTCTCCACTCTCCCACTGATTCATAGTTCCATCGTTTCGATTATGTTAGCTGATGCCAAACCTCAGAGCCTAAGCTTTTCCCCAGCTCTCGGCTTTTCTCGCCTAATCCTCTTTCATTACTAGAGATTAAGGTAGATTTTACTTGGATTTCGCACTACCTCTTCCAAAAATTTTGCCCTTCCTCTTTTATTATTCATATATATACTTCTCTATATTCGATTATTGTTTGTTACTTATGAGTCATAGCTTTTGTTTGCTTAATCTTTGCAAGGAGTGGAGCTATAATTTTTTATTGAGGGGGCCAAAACCTCAAAAACATGGATAGGGGTGCAAAAGCTAGGAAGCATGTGTAAGAGGGTTAAAATATAGGGGGACCATGGCTCCCCTCCGTCACCCCTTGGCCCCGCCCCTATTTGCAAGGAGGTTTCTAACGGTTTTGTTTTGGTGTATTTTCAATAGAGAGTTGTGTAAAGATATATTCAAGAAGTGGTCACAGTTGGATAAGTCTCATTTCTCAATTGAAATGTGTGTATGTGAGAGGGAGAGAACCACTATCCACAGGGTATATTTTGAAAATTTGAAAGAAAATGAAGGGCAAAAGAGTCACATGTTTTTATTTAAGTGTTTTTAGAGAAAAGACCACCAAACTCCCAATATGAAATAAGTGATATTTTTTTCTAAATAAACACTTGAAAAAGTTGGACGCCAAATACAAATAAGTGTTCATTCAAATAAGCACTTATTTTTAACATAAATACTCCCAAACATGGACTAATTAGGGTTATAATTAAACCGAGTTGAGTCAATCATTGCACTATTCAAGCTTGACTCAACTAAAAAACTAGTTACTCAAAATGAGCTTTTTTTTTCCTACTTAAACTCAACTTGATGAGATACTTAGACATACTTGAATGTCGACACAATTACCATTAAGACAAAATTGAGCTGGAAACTTGTGTCATACTATTTTATTTTAATTAGTGAAAAAGACTATTTCTTGTTAAATATCATTTGTTATCATAGCATAGTTATATAATTTCAAGATTCTCAACAATCATTATTCAGTTTTTTTTTTATCAATTTAAAACTAATATCCTTAATATTTTATTAAATACTTGATTAGGTTCACAAATTGTTTAATCGGAGTATTACGAAACTTGACTCTCAACTTGATTAACTATTCAAGTTCATTGCAAAATTGATTATTTACATGCTGAATTCAAAATTTCCATGAATAAGTTCGAATAACTAATGAATAGCTTAACTCATTTATACTCCTAGTTGTAATAACCTGTACTCAATTGATAGTGATATAGCCAAAATTGAACGCCAATTAGAAATCACTAAGAGGGCATTTTTTTCAGATTTTGAGAGGGAGGAAAGTTGGTCAATGGGATTTTGGTTTCCATTGACCAAGAATCCCATATTCTTTCTTTAGATTTATGTGGGGACCAATGAAAGTTTATTTCCCTGTGTATCACTTACCCAGCTAAATGATAACCATCTCCTGGGTGGGTAAATAACTTTCCCACGTAGGGGGAAAGTAAAGTTTCCAACACTTGAATGGGACAAAAATGCCCCTTTTAATAATGGATTTTTATGGCTAAAATGGTCATTGCCTTATTTACATAAGAAATAAAAGAACATGGGTAAATGCACTTACCTAGGTAAGTGTTTCCTAGGAAAAACTTACCCAGGTAACTGCATTTACTTGGGTAAATAACTTACCAAAAAGCGAATGGGGCCTAAGTGACAGTAGAGTTGTTAATTGACCAAGCTTATCTAGGGTAGGCTAACTTGATCTATAGTAGGCTGACCTAGTCAAGTTGACGTGACCTGGATGAGCTGACTTGATTGGGCCGAGTTGACCTGACCTAATTTTGCTGAGATGACCTAACCTGGCCGAGTTGACCTAATCTTGTTGAGCTGGCCTAACCTAGCCGAGTTGACCTAATCTTACTGAGCTGGCCTAACCTAGCCGAGTTGACCTAATCTTGCTGAGTTGACTTGATCTCGTTAAGCTGAGCTAGTATTAGATCATAACATGCATAAGTAACACATGGACATCCAAATAAATATATATGGCCAAGTTGGCTGATCAAAACATCGATGTTAGTGCATTCTATGTTGACCCATTACCCACCACATGCACACAATGTGTACACAACATGAGGGTTGCACCATACAACATTACACTCGATACTACACACTCTAAACATCTTGGCACACATCTTACCTCACATCATCTTATAACATGTCTCACTGAGCTCTCCAGCTCATCTTCTCTTCCCTTGGTGTTAATGATTTAACCGTTGAAATCCATGTCCCTAGGATATCACTTCGGAGCCTTCTGGTTGCAAGTTTTTCTTAACAATCAAAGTACTGAATTGAGATGATTCTACGAGATTAAGATGACACCTTACCAAACGAGATCTCCAACATCTTTTTATCTTCACCTTGGCAAATTTTAAAGACAAATTACCTGAATTCAGATCCTCTATACCTTTGATACATAAAATTTTCTAAATCAAATCAATAGCAATATGTCACACGAGTATATCCTTTGATTTCAAAATTAAAATAATTTTTTTCTAAATGTTATGACAAATTATTATTGATTTGATATAGAAAAGTTTTTATAGCAAGAGTAGAGAGGATCAAGGTTCAAAATATCAATACACCCAATATGCTAGTAGGAGTGTATCGAGTAAATTGATACGATTTTTTTTTTATTTTTTTTTTGTGAAACCGGTTCAGGGGGTGATTTAGGACTTCTCCACCCCTGAACTGGTCAGACCCCCAATATACCCACTATAGAAAGGGTCGATATGTATCGATACTTTGAACCTTGTAGAGAATGTGATTTAGAATGACCTGAGTCGGATTTCCTTTTTTTTCTCCACAAGGGGTTGATATAATAATCACCTTTTGATTTTGGGTGCGCGGTGGGATTCTGAACTGAAACTCATCTTTCGTCTACCACACATAAAAGGTATCTCTAATAAAGTGTTGACGTCTCAAGGCAAAATAAATGAACTCGTATGATAAATCCCTCCGAGTCCAAACGCATTGAATTCTGAACGAGTGAGAGGCTCCCGCCGTCCCGCGTGGCTGGATTGTAAATCGTAAAGTCTGTAAATCTGGAACTCTTTCACTTCACACTCCCATCCGCGACGCGTGAGTGAGCGTGTACACAGTACATCCGAACTTTTAACCCGACAGGCGACATCTGGCCACGTGTCGAAAATGGCTGTCACCTTTTAATTGATCGAATTTTGTTAAAATAAGAAATTTTGATATATTAATATTAATAATATTGGCGGGAGGTCCTTAGGAATTTCCGAGACTTTGGCGGTTAGCGCAGGACACGTGGCAGATTTATGGATCCTCTTGCTCCTGGTTCTGCTTGTCTAGTAAGTATTACTGTATCATCATCGTCATCATCTTCACTTAAAAAATAGTGAAGAAAGTGAGAATTAATTCGTTTACAGAAATCCTAAGCAAATACATTTTGTATACAATAATGAACAATAAGGTTCCAATTGACGCCACGAAGCTCAAAATCTCAATTGCTGAAAACCGCTCTGTTAAATTTGTTTGTTTAGTCCCATTGAGAACCATCGAACGTCCCGGTCCCTCCAGACGCACTGGAAGTGGGTGCTTCTTCACCGGAGAAATCCAGTAGCACCAAATCTTCAAGGTGGTCCTCCACCACTATATCCCAGAAATCGTCATTCTCTTGCCTATTCATTTGATTTTCAGGTGCCACTACTACTGTCTCCGTCTGCGATAAAAAGGACGGCTGGTGATCGTAGTGGGGGGTTTCCACAACTGGCTTTATTTCCCGTTGCTGCTGCTGTCCTTGCGTATCAAAGTTGTTTTGATTCTGTGCGCTAGTGCTGCTACTGCTAGTGTTGTGAATGTCATCTGGGAATGGGAAATTGAGTTTGGCGCGAGCGCCGCGGAAGTCGATGGCGGCCTTGTCGTACGCACGGGCGGCCTCTTCCGCCGTGTTGAAGGTTCCGAGCCAGACGCGAGCAGCTCTGCGAGGGTCCCTGATCTCTGCAGCCCATTTGCCCCATGGCCTCTGTCGGACACCCCTGTAGTTCTTCTTGTCCTTCCTCCTCTTCTTTCCCTTTTTGTCAGTCGCCGCGGCCTGTCTAGCGGACGACGACGAAGACGAAGTATCGAAAAAATTACAACCCAGACAGCCGTCAATACGGCAGAGATGACACGATTCAGCTTCAGGGAGTGGCAAGACTCTGGATGTTGCTTCTGTTGCTGCGGCGGTGGAAGTGGGCAGCGAAAGCTGCAATCCATGGGCGAAGTCGGTGGCGTTGCCGTCTGAGAGAACGTGAGTGAGAGCGGAGACCATAATAGAGATCTCCTGTTCGTGGGAGAGACGTAGCGAAGGAGAAGGATGGAAGCCTACCATGCCGAGATGGGTGTTGAGTTGGTGAATTTAGTTTGTTATTTGTGTGTGGGTATCGAATTGAGAAGGGCGGGCAGGGCAAGAAGGTTTTTATAGGGGCCGGGGGGGAAAGTGAGTCAATTCGAGTCAACACTGTTTACACACGGGACGGGACAACGTCCCATTCAATGAAGTAAGAAACAGTTGGCATTACAAAGCGAAGAAAGTGACGTCATGCCGCTGTTTTAAGGACCGTGTCGTGTGATAGTCAGATAGATAGTGTGTGTGCGTGCGTGCGTGCGTGCGTGCGTCGTCTCTTTTGCCTCTTCTACTCTGTCTAAAGCCGTCTAGCGGTCTAGGGACTAGGGGTGAGTGGTGAAACTTGAGAGCACTCGGAAGCCAACTCCACGGACACACTGACAAATCTTACGTCATCTTATGCTCCTGGCCTCCTGCTGGTGCGGGTCCCATCTACTTTACATTACATCAGAACTGAAGACTTCTGATTTCTACACACCTGGAGACGAAACTGGATTTGCTCCTTACCATGGCGCCTCACACCGACCTCAAAGGCACATTTCACCGTACATCGGAAGCGTCTCCGTCACTTATCCTATATTGAAGATGCTCCTAAGTCACGTTAGGATGTTCCTGTGAGGTCGTTGTGAAACGCCCTGTGTGATCCCAATTCAAATATTTGTGTGCACCGTCCAATTAATATATCCGGATTCCGGAGTCTAACAATTTTGATTTTGTCATGCGGCTCACCTTTTTGGTCCGGTCAAATCCTTTATCCTGCTCCCTACGGATAACGGAGCATTGCAAAAATATCATCCCAACTCCAAGGTTTAGATTCATCATCATATGGTTGACTATGAAATTGATGTCGGATCTCCTATCCACAGACTCCTCATATCCTTCGCCGCGCATTGGAACATCCCTCTTGTGATGTTCACAGGAGACGACGCTGATGTCTTAGGTGGAAAATGTTTAGGGAGAATGACTCTTTCGACAGTTGAGTATAACAATTCTTACCCCCATAGTTGGGTAGGTGTCAGGTCGGAATTGATGTTAATATAGAGTTGTATTGAAATTTAAAATTCTGTAATATTTTTTTTAAATTATGAATAAAATATTTGAAATTTTAAAAATTATAATTTTTTTAATTTTAAAAGTTTTGTCAACTTTTTAATTTAATTAATATATTTTGTTATATTTCAACTTATTGGTCAAGGTTGACCCTGAAAATAATACAACAGAGGTTTTATTCCTTTGCCATCATTGTTTTTTTTTTTTTTTCTTTTTTATGTTAGATAAAGGTGGTGGTGTTTCAAAGCCATTTCTCCATCATATAAATATCATATAAGCATTTTCACCTTGCCAAATCAAAATCTTATTTGGCTGGTTTTGCATTTTTAAGTAAAAGTGATTTTTGAAGGAAACACCAATGTTTTCGACTTGTCATTGATTCGGCCAGTCAAATCATCACCTAACCAAGATTCTGGGTCCAGTTCAGTCAAAGACCCGTCAAACGATTAAAAACTGTTGACTTGGTTAAGATTCATTCGACCCAGTCAGTTTGACTTGATGGTCGTGTCGCGAATTGCATATTCAATGCATACGAACTTTCAGAGGCCATAACTTTGCACTCTGATGTCCAATTGGTGTGATTTTTTTTTCTTTTTGGTTTTAAATAACTTTTCGAGATCTATACGTCCCAAAACATCGTTATTTTCGTAGGTTGCCCCACTATTTTCTCGAAAAAAACCTTAACATATCTAAAACATTTTTATACATTATTTATTACTAAAATATATATTTACACACCCACATATATATGCAATGACATGGCATGGTCTAAACTGTTCGACCTAGCCAGTTAAACTGATGACCCATGAGCTGGAGGCAAAAACGATTCAGCCTCCGGGTTGATTTTTAAAACATTGGGAAATACTATTTAAATATGGATTAATTACTTGATGTACCTCTGAACTATTTGGTACCCTTAAAGTTTTAGAACCTACATTTTCGGAAATATGACACATACTATCCTTCCGCTAGTTGTCCGTCACATTCTATTTACATGTGCCATCACATGACACTTTTAATCTTTGAAAATCTAGTTTTGTGTTTTTCCTTCAGTCCTTCACTACCAACCTTACCCATTTCAGAGGCTTGTCCATGAAATTCCCAAGAGAACCAAAGCAATGACAATCCATTAAGAGACCACCGGGGTATTTGTAGGTTGAGGTGAATGCAAAGAACACGATGTCTTCTTGAGGAAACCAACTATGCAATGAATGAAAACACTGAAAGAGTACTTTGTCTGATGATTTGTTAAATCTCGACTTTAATGCAGAGAGTATGTTCCCAGATGAAAGATCACAATTGCTAAGGGACATTTGAATATTATCAAATCCTTAGCTTATGTCCTACACGCTAGAGTGATCAAATTGGGTAGAAAGGTTAAAAAGATCAAATGGAAGGACGGGTTGTGACAATAAGCCTGTGAAGCTGCACTTCAAACATGGTTACCACGTTGTTACAATGTTAGATTTTGGCAGCAGAAGAAACTCATGCTGTGTCTGGGCCTGTGCGTAAGAGTGTCAATGGACCGGTTTTGAATTGGACCCCATCCAGTCTAAAATAAATTTGAACGGATTGAACGGACGAATAGGACATATTGAATTGGACCAATCTGGTCAAAAATATTTATTAGATTAGATTGGACCTGATCCGTCCGCAACAAATTTATATGATTGGGTTGGATTAAGCCAATATCTGGTCCATTGATATAAGATGAGAATATATGTGTCAATGGATCGGTTTTGGGTTGAAACAATCTAAATCAAAATGAATTTGAACAGATTGGACGGTCCAGACATTGGACCTGATCCATTTATAATGGATTGACATTGGACTGGACCGGATTGGACCAAATCCAGTCCAATTGACACCCCTACCTGTGCAGTCAGGACAAACCTTTTGTGTGTATGAGTCATGTGTCAACCCGTTGAATGACTCCACCAAGGTCAATGCACTGGATCATGACCTCATTATGCATGGTTAGGGCTCATGTGTGGCTCTTGTCGGTCTATGAGAAGTGCCACTTACGTGCCGAAGGGGGGGACTATGCCGATGATGTGTGTGAAGCAATCAATGGGCCTTTTGAACACACTCGTGTGCTTGAACAATGGGGTAGTTTGATCAGCTTAGACACAGGGCTAGCAAGGTGTAGGGACATGCTTAGGCCAGACCCATGTGTAAAACCTCCCCTTCATGTGTGTTGTGCAATGCCAATCCATGCACTGTCCCCATGAGCGATTGTGTGCTCATGAGGAATCTCAGTAGCCATGCTAGCCATTAATTAGGGTCGCCCTATAAGGGATATTGGTTTTGGGAGTGCCAAGGGTAGGCACTCCACACCCAAGGAGATCGACCACCCCTCCTCAAAGAGGATGTTAAGCTTTTGGAGGTTTGCCGAAAAATAACGTCATTTTCCTGAAAAATCATACTGGCAGAATTTATGATAGTGCCACTCAATACAGACCACCAAGATTAGGTAGATTAAACCTATGTTAGACCGTGACAACATGATCTATTGATCATGTCATAGTAACAACTTCCGTCAGGGTGCTGAAAGCCGGAATTCAAGAAGACCTAGGAATGTTCGGTCCTCCCCTTCTCTCCTTTAAGGACAGGAACAATTTAGGCATCAAGAAGCTGGATCAAATCCATTATCCTGATTCAAGAACCTATGCATGCCCACGACATGTTACCATTAACCATGGCTGCTGGGTCTTTTAAATAGTGAAAGGACAGACTTGATGTTGATGGTGTTCAGCTCTGAAACCGAGATACATCGAGGAACGGGGACTTTTGGTTGCCCTCTATTAAGTAGGAAAAGAGGAATGCAAGAGGAGAGCAGTAACCATATAACGACAAAGATGCGAGAAGAGAATACAGAATGTCCACTAAGCTGCAGCAAGGAGCAGTGATCACAAAATGAGAAAGATGAACCTGATTGAGGTTGTTTTTGTATCAGCGCATTACAGGATAGGGGTGCCTTTGCATAGTTACCCGGCTCCTAGCCATAACCCATAAACCATGTCCATACCATACGACGCCACCAAGAATAAACAACAGATTGTCTCCCAGAGGTTCTTCTGATTGGAGACTTTGGAGTTTTGCAGCCCGACCCCAACCCTTGTCGGGGTTCACATTTGCGGAATCAAGGGACCCCTGAAAACGAGTCCAAGTGTAGACAGGAAGTAGACGAGTTGGCAGTTGGTAAACCCAATTAGGTTTTGCACGACCCACTTACCACTGATCAGAAAACAAATACATCCTCTATTCTTAATACAGCCCAGTATCATTGGAATGTATTGTCCTTCCCATTAAAAAAGACTAGTAGGAAGTAGAAGTTGAAAAGAGAGATTGTTACAGCACTTACATTTTTCATGCAAAGAATCATCTCAAAACATTAACTGTCCAGAGAGAGAATTATACAAAGAAAAACCTAATATACACAAAGGTGATCAAGCCAAAAAATACTTGATGGTCCCAATTAATTTCACCGGTGAAAACCAATTGAAAACATATTTGGACCATGAACCAGATGAAATTATCTGTTGAAGACTAACATCTACACCAGCAGAACAATTTGATCAAAAGCTCTTTCACTTATTTTTCATCCTCTGAATCTGTATCAGAAACCATAAGACTCGTGTTAAAAACAATTCAATCACGATGAAAAAACAAAGGACTAGCGTACATGCTTGATTGCTTTTTCTCATTTTCCTTTCTGAAGCAATTTAATGAACTCGAATCTGGATAAACTTTTATATATCTAGAAATAAGAAATGAAGGGTATTTTTTTTTCCAATAGCAAAATGAGACATTTTCCTTGACACCAACAGGGTGCTCATATGGATCATTTTTCCTTTTCTTGAAAATATTGAGAATAGAAGATATTAAGAAAATAAGAGAAAAAGAACTTAGTTTTTCACCTATTTCTAGAATTGTACACAAAGCAACACCTAGATAATAGTTATAGTTAGCTTAGACTTCCAGTGTTAACCAACTGAGGGCTGGCTCGTTGGTGTTTTAGCTGGTTTGTTCTAGCGTTGATGCGGAATCGAATCCCGCAACCAGCACTTTGGAGAAAAAGGGGGGTAAGGGGAAGTTATCAATGGTGCAAGGCACCATATACCAAAACAAAAAACCTTCAGTCTTTGCATTGAAGAATTGTAACTGGTAGCCAATAAAAAAGCTCTATGCATGCTAAGGTGACAAATACCTACTTAAAAAAAACATGTTTCATTTTAATACCTAAATGTGAAAGATGCGTTTAAGGATATTAGTTGAAGGAGAAAAAAAAATTGCTAGTTCAAAGACATGAGAATGGCCGATGGTACACTACTATCTTAATAAAGAAAATGAAAAATGGATTAACAAAGAAAAAAAAAGGATCCAACAACTCTGTCTGCTTGGGAAATCCCGAACTTAGAGGGCTTGTCATTTGATTCTTTTGACTAGAATAAATCTTAAAGCAATCTGGTGAGGTTCACAATTGTCTAACCTGATCGGATATCTTCTCCTACTTTTCCTCTATTTTTCAGTTGTCTCAAGATCATTGAGCATATGAGAATCCACCAGTATATGTGGAAGATGAATAACACCAATAGCATTGTATTGAAAACATAGTACAATGACTTTTGGTAACCCTCTGAGAGATCCAAGAATTCACGTACATCATAGCTGGAAAACATCATACACCATAACAGCACAAGTAGAAAAATAATAAAGCCCACTGTAATGAAATCAGAATACCTACTGTATTACAAACCTTGAAGTCCTGATCACCCAAAATGGAAAAAATATTAGCCGTAGTATGAGCCATGAGATGGCAAAGAATCCAAAGCACAAGCTAGCTGCAAGCTCCTTTTCAGAATATTTGAATACTTTAGCAGCTTCCAGAAACACGTCACTTGCATCATGCAAGGCAAGAATGATTGATCCAATACGGAAAAACCTACAAGATGGGTTCTTTATCACTTTTATCACTGGAAAATCCCATTAAATTTTTGAAAATCAAAATGGTTTGCATAATAGTTCAATAGTTTCCTCAAATGGGTATTATCCATGTACTAAAATACTTGAATTATGAGGTAATGGCTTCATGACTAGTCCACATACAATAACTAGAAGAACAAAAGGCACAAGACAGATTTTCTGCATAATACCAATTCCAACGGAAACATCGAGGATAAACCAAAAATTTAAGAAAACAGATGGGTTGTAAGCTGCTGCTACAACGCTCAAACGCTATGCTTTGTATTAGCTTATTCCACATTAAAACATTAACAAAAGAAGAATGCCCTAAAGGAAGATATATCATGCTCAACAAAAAGGAATGTTACACTGCTCCACCCATGGCTGCTTGTTACGGAGAGAGATCAAGAGAAGCACAGCCATTTCATTGAAGAAGGTATAAGGGAATTCTGAGATAATGGACTCATGCCTGGTGCATATCTTTTTACTTCTTTTTTCTTTGTTCAACAGCATCAGCATATCAGCAGCTGTGAACAGGAAATACCTACTCGAATAAATTGGGACCAATTAATTGAGGACCTGAGAAATTAGGTGGGCTAGCAGAGCTGGCAGAGGTCCATGGAAGCTGGCACGCTACCATAGTTGTCAAGGCAACACCTAGGTGACAAGGTGCCCTTGGAGGCTCGCCTCGCCCAGTCGTCAAGCAGTTTTGCATACTGTGTAATAAAATACTTTTATATTGTTATTTTTTTGAAATTATAATTGTAAAATAGACATTATCAAAGAAACATATTCATTTTTTGTGTTTATAATAAACTAATTTCTTTTTATTATTTTCTTATTTGTTAGGGTTTAATCAACACAAACATTGCTAACTGCTGTATTTTTTTTTTTTGATAGATAATGATAATGGTAATTTTATTAATTAAAGAACTAAGTATACATCATACAATTCCCCACTAAGAGGCACAAGGTGCAGCCTCCAAACTACATCATAAAGCTTACAATTGAGCCCATTCCTATGTACTCCTTGTTTAGCTAGGAGGTCTGCCAGCCCATTTGCCGATCTTCTTTCCCATTGAACTGTGACTGAAATATTTGAAGTCAGCCACTTAAATCTTCTCAAAGTCCCCCTGTATGGCCAGGCTGCCGTCTCTGGTTCTTTTAGTCATCCAACAACCAATTTGGAATCACCTTCAATCATTAAATGCTCCACTGCCAACTCTCTTGCATATTCTGCTCCTTGTAACACAGCTTGGAATTCTGCATTTACTGAGTCTCCCCACCCCATAGGACCAGAAAATAGAGCTACAGTCTGACCCTCATCATTTCTAAAGACTCCCCCTATTCCAGAAGGCCCCGGGTTGCCCAATTTCTAAAGTTCTGGCTGCAGAACTTTTAGCTAGTTGTTCCCAATTTCTCCTTATGTCATCAAAAGTGTAGGAGGAGAACAGATACAAGGACTTTACCCAAATTATGGCCCTACATAAGATACTTTCAAACACAAAATTTTGATCCCTCTCCTTGTCATTAAAGATTCTAGCATATCGTTCCTCCCACACAGTCCACACCAAAGCAGATCTCACACACCTCCACAAAACTCTTCCTTATCTCTTTGGCCACCTGAAAGTTCTAGGATCAAAAAGATTGCAAATCTGCACGGGTTATGTCCACCTGCACCCAAAAAGATCAAAAAGCTTTTCCCAAAGGCCTACAACAAAAGGGCAAGTGATTAGTAAATGGTAGCAACTTTCCTCGTTTGCTTTGCAAAGGGTGCACCAGTTAGGAGAGATACAAAGACTAGATCTTCTTTTTTGCAAAACATCCAAATTGTTGATTTTCCCGAGGGAGACTTCCCAGCAAAGGGCTCTAACTTTAAGAGGGACAGGTTTGGAAACTTCCTTGCTAGGAAAAGGTTGAGGCAATGGAGAGGAGCACAAGGAAGCACAAGAAAAGGATCCCGAAGGTAAAGGCTTCCAAATACGGTAATCTACAGAAGGAGGGTCCAAGCAAATGGAATCAATGGTTTTAAGGAGCAAAGGAACCTGGTCAAGCTCAGAATCTCTCAAGTCTCTTCTAAGGCCCAGGTTCCAGTTTATGCCAGAAGAAAAGGAAGAGGATACAAACCTTTGAATTGGCTTGTTTTTAAAACACGAGATGAAATACAAGGAGGGAAAGAGGTCATTGAGGGCACAGTCACCAATCCAAACATCCTCCCAAAACAAAACCCTATCTCCAGTACTAGCATCATACCTAATCAGGTTCAGGAAAACGGGAAGAATACTATGAATAGCCTTCCATGGGGATTTCAGCGTAGCACGCCGAGATACACCAGCATCCCATCCATTGTCTGCCACACCATGCACGCTCCTTACTACTTTATGCCAAAGCCTCTCCCTTTCCAGAGGCCACCTCCACAGCCATTTACCTAGTAATGATGTATGCCAAAGCCTCGCCCTTTCTAGAGGCCTCTCCCTTTATGCACGCTCCTAACTGCTGTATTGAACCCTCAATGACTTCAAAATCTGAACCAACAAGGGAAGAACTTAAAATTTTGCCCAATCAACACATTTCTTCTTTTCCTACGCGACTAGGAAACTATGCAGCTACCTGAATGAAACTCCTTTCCAACAGTTCTCCGATGGATTCCTAAGGATATTAATTTGGTTGCCGATAGATTAGCTAAGAGGTGTGTGGGAAGGGTCTTTTTTGCACATGGGATCTGCTGAGAACACAAGTGTGTGAACCCAGCCATGTGACCATTAACGAGTGAACATGATGATTAATCAAGTAGTGGACAGCTCTCTTTTCTTTCTTTTTTTTTTTGGATAGTATATGGTAACAGCTCTTCTTCTCCCTCAGTATTTTGTTCAATGATGAAGCTGCAACTGTTCATTTTGTATTCATGTCTGCATCCTATCATGAGAAACATCTTTTTCCTCTTTTACTTAACAAGATATCTACTTTCTTCTTAAAAATAAACTTCAACAAATTGGTGTGTAATTAGAGAAAGTACCACCATCAAATGTATAGATGCCCCAGACTAGGGGTGTCAATTTGTGAATAAAACCAACCTGCTTACCTGCTTATAACCCACTCAACCCTACTTGTTTCATGTAGGAGGTTCAAAATGGATCGAGTCACCCATTGTGTCAATCTAAATGGGCTGATTTGGGTAAAGAGTACCTATTGTGTTGACTAAAATTTAAATGCCCTTTCAGATTATAGTTAAATGACATCTCTCACAATCTAACTTTTAAATCTAAATGTGATTAAGTGGGTTGGATTGGTTCAATTTATAGGCTGAACAGGTCTCATCCAATTAAGGGATGGAAGGTCGGAAGAGAAGTGGTCACAAATGATTCTTTGAGGATAATGGTGTAAAAGGGGCAAAGAAGCTTCAACTCTCAATTAAGTGTTTTGAAATGATTTTAAATGCATACATGCATTTCTTGACAGGCATAAATATGAAGGAAGAGGTGGAAAAAGATCATTGGGGTGTTGATTTACTAAGCCATCATGGTTGATGAAATACTAAGGTCTTCCTTTGGGCGGAAATCCTAAAACCAATAACTTTTAGAATCCAAAGATTGATAGGGTAACCAAGATATTAGCTGCTTGGAAAAGAAATTACATTTCACTAGGCGGTAGAATTAACCTAATCAAATTCGTATTAGCTAATTTACACATCTTCTTGTCAATTTTTAGGATCCCAATCTTGGTAGGGAAAAGAATAGAAGTGGTCACAAATGATTCTTTGTGAGGATAATGGTGTAAAAGGGGCAAGGAAGCTTCAACTCTCAATTAAGTGTTTTGAAATGATTTTAAATACATACATGCATTTCTTGACAGGCATAAATATGAAAGAAGAGGTGGAAAAGATCACTGGGGTGTTGCGTTACTAAGGTGCTGTTCGGTACTGTTAAAATCTCGTGGATGGACCGTTTCGGTCCACGCCACGAGATGAAAGGAGCGTTCGGTTCACTGTGGACGGGACCGGTCCACATTATCTCGTGGACCAGTCCCGTCCACACCCTAATTTCTCGGCAACGGCTTCTTCTCGTGGATGGATTTCTTCCACAGGTTGCCTTTGATAATGTGTTTCACACACAGTATCTATAACACTACATCTTGTTCAAGGTCTCCTCCGCCAAACCTCTACTGCTGTGCTCCACTGCCACCGCCTCTGCGTGCTCCACCACCTCTTGCAAAATATTTCTCATATCAATTGTTTAAATATTATTTTTAATATTTTTGTCAATAAAATATTAAATCTTACTTAATTCTTTATTTTTTATATTTTTTAATGTTTTTATCAATGAAATAATATTTTTTAAAATATTTAATATATATTTTTTAATTATTTTACTATTGTTTTATAAAAAATTGATATTTTTTGGTTAATATTAATTCATTGATGCATTTTTTTTTAAATATTTATCATACAAAATGCAAAAATTACATATTTATGATTAACTGTGTATATCATTAATTCCATGTACATGAGATGCATGGAATCAAAAAAGTTTGGTGTGGACTGGTCCACACCACACTATAGAACACCACTATGGGTGTGGACTAGTCCTGTCCACACAGTTTGTCCACAATGCAGAACAGTTGTGGATTGTGGTGTGGTGTGGATTGGTCCCTCCCACAGGGTGTGGTGTGGACTGGTCCACACCCACCAATTTCTCCTCCACACTACAGAACACCCCCTAAGCCATCATGGTTGATGAAATACTAAGGTCTTCCTTTTGGTGGAAATCCTAAAACCAATAACTTTTAGAATCCAAAGATTGATAGGGTAACTATTTGCTTGGAAAAGAAATTACATTTCACTAGGCGATAGAATTAACCTAATCAAATCCATATTAGCTAATTTACACATCTTCTTGTCAATTTTTAGGATCCTAATCTTGGTAACAAAAAGAATAGAAAAGCTAATAAGAGATTTTATGGGAACTAGGGGTGGAGAGATTG